CCCCCCCCCCCCCCCCAATTCTGTTAAAATTTGCCACTTTGCAACATGATTAGACCAGTCTATGGAATAAACTTTTTTTGAGAGTGTATTAGCTAGGAGACTATAGCCACAAATATTGTTCAATGGCTGTACAGTATGTAAGCAGCTTGATTAGGCGACAATTTAAGAGGGAGAGATGAGATAGATTTTATCTTGCAATAAACATTAAAGCATATTATTATTATTATTATAATACACGATTTATATGGCGCCAACAGTTTGCGCAGCGCTTTTCAAAATAAGGAAGACATGCAGAGGGTATGAGGGCATAAACACGGGGTTCGCGACTCACTTTTGGGTCCCGACCCACCAGTTGAGAACCAAGGATTTAAAGGACTGGTATTTTTTTTTGTCACCCTCAAAGCCTCATTAAAATGAGCCCCCTTTCCTCTCTGTAAGGTCTATTCTTAAAATGTATATTTGCTTTGGTAAATGTCCCCCATGGTGGTCCCCCAATGGGCAGAATTTAGTATCAAGATTTGCCCCAATAGACTTCAATGGGATCGGCGGCTGAGTTCAGGTTTTCAGATTTTAGGCAAGGGTTTGCACAATCACAAATCAAACTGGGAAAGATTCCCTCATCGCTACCTCAGAGGAACTCCTTAGAAGGACCATATGCTCATAAATGTCTGTTCATATTGAGTCTTCACATAGTTCATAGTCACAAGCTCCTCACCTAGGACAAGGTTCTTCTCAGCAACATTTCCCAACATAAGAGCTCATTGATCAATGTTCAGTTCTGAATCGTGTCCACACAGAATTCCAGTTCTCCTTCTACATTTCAGGATAGATAGTTGGAGCTATTACTGAGGGAAAAGTCTCTGAATCACCTTATTTACATTTGGCACTAAGGACACATTGTGTCTCCTCAGTATATTATCTGGAATGAGTTTCTCTGCGGTGATGTCATTCCTCCATTCGTGTGTACAATGGAAGGTGATGGCCATGTCTTGTGCTATATTCTTCGATTCTCCTCTGTATTTCAGAGCGGAGTGGATGGAGGTCTGAAATACGTCCCTGGGGTTCACAATCATTTTTCGGCCATTCCAGAATTTCCATTTTATAGGTTCTCTGACAGAATGATGGAGAATATTGACCCCGGGAAGATGAGGCCACAGGTCAAATCCAGAGGCGTTGACTAAAGTGGGAAAGACGTGATTCTCAAAGCGGAAGACACTTGTATCTGGATGTTCATTCTGAAGACTCTCCATCAGTGATGACCAGTCCCAGTCCTTGACTGGAATAATAATTTCATCAATGTCATTGAGGAGAACAAATTTACTTGTGTACATGTTCCTGTATAGACAATCATTTAAGGTGGCAGTTTGTCCAAAATAACTAATCTCAGAGCTGAGTCCTTTGGAATACTGCCATTCCTTAGATGTCTGAAGATGGCGGTCTATTGGCCATGACACAACCTCCAGAGTTCCTTCATCAATGTAATGACGTAACACCTTATCTACATCCCGGGAACAGCTGGTGTTATACATGGTGACTCTAGAGGCCCCCAGAATCTTGTACATCTCAATGTGCTGGACCATCTGGAGGACATTGTCGTAGTTTCCATACAAAGTAGAAATACAGACGGTGAAATTGTTAGAGATCGGCTGTGGTGGACGGTTCCTGACTTCAAACAGGAGGTTCTGATTTATGTTTGTGGATTTAGAAAAAGACATATAAGTGTAATCACACCCAGAAGGTTCTGCACATAGAAGATCCGCTGTTCCATATGGGAACCCAAATGAATCTCTGTGAAAATCTATTTCTGCCCGGGTGAAGACAATCTCATCGGCGGAACAATGGAAGAAACAATAGAGCTCGGTCACAGATACATGGATGATGGCGATGACCCGAACTGACCGGCCAAGTCTAGGCTCATAATACGGAGCGATGATGAATGTTCGATGATCCAGAGCAGTGATGGTGTCTGTGGCAATGGAAGGATTCTGTATTCTCATCTTCAGACGTCCGGATTCTACATCGTAAGAGTAAAAAATGAAAGCAACGCACACAAATATGGACAGCGCACAGAACATGCATCTAGAAGACGTCCGCATTCTGCGCCAATCAGGTGATCACAACTGCAAGAAGATGAGAAAGAGAACAGGTTAAAATGAGTTCAAATCTGTAACTGATCTAGAATTAAGTGAAAACAGCAACATGTACCGCAGCGTAGTACAGAGAACACTGAGCCAGTCACATCAGTCTCTGTACAGAGGAGCTGACACTCTAATGTCCCCTCCCCCCACAGTCACATCAGTCTCTGTACAGAGGAGCTGACACTCTAATGTCCCCTCCCCCCACAGTCACATCAGTCTCTGTACAGAGGAGCTTACACTCTAATGTCCCCTCCCCCACAGTCACATCAGTCTCTGTACAGAGGAGCTGACACTCTAATGTCCCCTCCCCCACAGTCACACACTATTATTATTATACATTTATGCTACCAATCAGGAAGCTGGGACGCACATAATGAACCGCCTCCCTACCTCCTGATTAGACAGGAAGCCACGCTGCCTAGAAACAAGTGAAGCCAGCTTCCTAGCCAATCAGGAAGCCGGGAGGCGGGTCATGACATGCCACCCAGCTTCCTGATTGGCTAGGTAGCCAGCTTTCTCTTGTTGGTGGGCAGCCTGGCTTCCTAACCAATCAGGAAGCCCGATAGTACGTCATGACTCAAGTCCCGGCATCCTGATTGGTCAGGAAGCCACGCTGCCTAGAAAAAACTGAAGCTGGCTTCCTAGCCAATCAGTGACCTGTGGCACACTGGCATCTTATGGGGGCATGGTTTATGTACAGAATGTATATCTAGGGACATGTGGCACACTGACATCGTATGGGGGCATGGTTTATGTACATAATGTATATCTGGGGACCTGTGGCACACTGGCATCTTATGGGGGCATGGTTTATGTACAGAATGTATATCCGGGGACCTGTGGCAGACTGGCATCTTATGGGGTCATGGTTTATGTACAGAATGTATATCTGGGGACCTGTGGAACACTGGCATCGTATGGGGGCATGGTTTATGTACAGAATGTATATCTGGGGACCTGTGACACACTGGCATCTTATGGCGGCATGGTTTATGTACAGAATGTATATCCGGGGACCTGTGGCACACTGGCATCTAATGGGGGCATGGTTTATGTACAGAATGTATACCTGGGTACCTGTGGCAGACTGGCATCTTATGGAGGCATGGTTTATGTACAGAATGTATATATGGGGACCTGTGGCACACTGGCATCATATGGGGGCATGGTTTATGTACAGAATGCATATCTGGAGGTGCAAGAAGGAACCTATGGCGTGCCCTAGTCATGCCATGCTAAGCAATTAAAACCTAATTCAGCATTCCGCAAGATGTCAGAGCTTTATGTAAACACACATCCTATGGCCCCGGGCTCTACACAGATCACTGCAAGTCTACAAGAGCCGCATCCAAGCTGCTGAATGATGGCGAGTGGCTCAGATATGACGTCTCCAGTCGCAAAGCTCAACAATAGCAGCAGGGAGCAGGTGAGTACGGATCAGAATAACTGCAGGAAAGTTGTCACACAGTGTCTCCATCAAGTAACAGAACTCGGATCTCACGCTGCACTGATTCAATAAAAGGAACTTAAAGAGTCTGTCAATATATTAATATTCTTGTTTAGATCTGTACACCTGCTGTGCCCATTATGAGGGGCCCCCACCATCCCTATGCTGAGTTCCCGGGCCTGTACACCCGCTGTGCCCATTATGAGGGGTGCCCACCACCCCTGTGCTGAGTTCCCGGGTCTGTACACCCGCTGTGCCCATTGAGGGGTGCCCACCACCCCTGTGCTGAGTTCCTGGGTCTGTACACCTGCTGTGCCCATTATGAGGGGCTCCCACCATCCCTGTGCTGAGTTCCTGGGTCTGTACACCCGCTGTGCCCATTATGAGGAGCTCCCACCATCCCTGTGCTGAGTTCCCGGGTCTGTACACCCGCTGTGCCCATTATGAGGAGCTCCCTCCATCCCTGAGTGGAGATAATAGATCCTGATTTGGTCTTACGGTTGGGTGATGATGGATGGTGTGTCCCCGGTGATCGGTTCTTTGTCTCCTTCCAGTCAGGGTTGTGATATATTTTTTACATGATATAAAACCTCGTCTGGAGCTCTTCTCTCTGGTTGTAGGTCGGGTTGAGGATCAGATCTTCAATGTGCGTGTTTATGGCTCGGAGCCGATAGTTTCACATGAATTACCTGTTTGATGCCTAACCCCTATTAATATTCCGCCCACTCCTAACTACTATTATGACTCCGCCTTTTATCATTTTATTACCTAATTTCCATACTTGAAATGTAACTCCTGATGCGACTGTTTCCATTCACCTCACCCTGAATGTTGTAACAAGGACACTCCACTGTAGTCCAGGTAAGTCAAATCAAATGCAGTTTATTTAGGGCAAACAGAAATATATCTTGCATCAGCAGCAACATAAGACAGTTCCCTTTATATGGCTCAGCAGATTCGCTTATGAGCCCTCACTCTGCTCTCTCAGCAGTGTGTCGTAGCGGTCCTAGGGTCACCGACCTTCCTGACCTCTCCCCTCGTGGGCACTCAAACACACCCCTCATGTGTCACTGGCTCTCTGTCTCCTCGGCTGTCTACGAGGTGCCTCCAGCACACACAGCCACCTGGCTCCCCTCCCAGCTGGAGCCCAGAACACTAGCCAGCACCCTTTCCATAAGGGCTATGCACAGGTGTGCAATCATTAGGTTCTGGCCCCTACTAAACCATGGACCCAGGAATGGAGATTTCATCCCTCCCAGTTCTCTTTGAAATCTCCCAGTTCCAGGATCCCGTACCAAATCCAGGTTTTCTGGAGAGAATTGCAAGGCCAGTTCTTTCCCAGCAAAATAATTTGTTTCCTGGAACTGCTAAGTCTCTCTGGTCGAGAGTCCTGGGTTACTACAACCCCCAGTTCCACTGTGGGATTGCCACACAATACAACAATGTGTACACTCGGCCAGACATTTTTTGGGGGATTGAGTAGGGAATAGAATGGAACCTCTGTCAGATTTCTCTGGTTGGTACCGTTGGAGAGATTTATTCTCATTTCCTCTCTGGTAAAATTGTTGTCACCAGTACAGGAAGTGAAGGTTAATCTCTGCAATGGAATAGCAGTAAAAAAACCCGACTGGAGTTCTAACCCTCTTCCACCCAAAACTATAAAAAAGGATTGTAGATCGACTTTCAACCCGACTCCTTCAATGAGCCTCCAAACTCATAACCCAACCTTCCAAATGAACCCTTAAAGGACAGTCGCACTTATACCTAATCCTACTCCGTCCTCAGATATACTACATAACCCCTCCTCCCCCACCTCCATTGTTTACAGCCAGTCCAAAGAAAATCTCTATAGTGGTGACCAGAGAACGAGTCCTGATAGGGACATGGAGACCCCGCTCATGGCTCCATCCACATCTACGGGAACTCAGTACTGGGAAGATCCCTCAGGGATTTATTCATATACAGAATTCCTTTCTCTTGGAATCCACTGAATTTGGTATAAAGGTCAGTACAGTGGAAGACAATTTCGGACGACCTCGTCCTTCATCATGTTGAGGGGTAAGTCACAGAAAATGCTCAGGAAGTCTCAATACCCCCCCATAGGAGGAAACATCTCAAGGGATCTAATAATATACTGTGTGTATGTGTAGCACCGTGTAGGAGGAGTGCTTAGTAAAGTTAGTGTTGTCAGATTGTATGCAGTCTGGTGCTGATTTGTAGTCTATGCTCGTTTGGTTTTTCCCTAATCAATCATCTGCATCTGCCTGCTGCTGGGTGTACCCTGGTCACAGAGCAGAGCAACCAATAAGGGACTGATATGAGTAGGTATCCCTCTCCAGCCAATCACTGGAGCCTTATGGCTGGAGGCCCAGTGGTGCATGCTGGGGGAGGAGATAAATACTTGAGGTGAGCTCTCTCTTCTTCCCCGGGCCCTGCCTGTGGGGAGGCGGCTATGGACTGTCTGAGATGGCTAGGCCTGAAGCCTTGGTACTAGCTGTGTGATTACATTGGTGCCTTATGGCTGGAGGCCCAGTGGTTACTACTGATGGCAAGGATGAATATGGCCGGTGACTGACCTCTACCTCTCTCTCCCTGATGTTCTACAATTACATTTCTTAGCATCATATCTACAGCCCGGACATCCCTTAAATCGATCACCACAAAGGGCAGTAAGTGCTGATGGGCGAAGTGTAGATAATGTGTGTCCTCCCCGGACCCTGTGTGTCCTCCCTGGACTCTGTAGATAATGTGCATCCTCCCTGGACCCTGTATACAATGTGTGTCCTCCCTGGACCTGTGGACAATGTGTGTTCTCCCTGGACCCTGTGGACAATGTGTGTCCTCCCTGGACCCTGTGGACAATGTGTGTCCTCCCTGGACCCTGTGGACAATGTGTGTCCTCCCTGGACCCTGTAGACAATGTGTGTCCTCCCTGGACCCTGT